CCAAACACTTTCTCTCAGTCCAACTCACTTCCTAGGATTGTTGTTGTGGGGAAAATAGGAGGAGGAAAGTGTGTTAGATGTGCTCACCAGCTTGAATTCTTTGCAAAAGTAATACTAGGATATAAATAATCAAAATAAATAAAAAAATATTAGGCCATTCTGCCTTTAAGGAATGGTGCAACCTCATTATGTGGATGGTATGGATAGGCTGGTAATGCAGATCAGCCCAAAGTCTGATTTAACTATTACTGTCCAATCAAAGGGATAATGCAGCATTCAAATGAAAGACCATTGAGCTAATTTTAGAAAAGACAACCAAACCATACCCAAACCCTTCTTTCAGCTACATGCATTAGAATTAGTGTCTTAATGGTTCATTTAGGTATGCTTATAAGATCCCTAAGAGTAGAAAACCAAAGATACATTTGCCATTCTCATTCCTTATTGCCTGCCTGCCTGCCTGCCTGCCTGCCTGCCTGCCTGCCTGCCTGCCTGCCTACCTACCTACCTACCTACCTACCTACCTACCCACCCACCCACCCACCCATCCATCCATCCATCCATCCATCCATCCATCCATCCATCCATCCATCCATCCATCCATCCATCCATTCTCTTCAAATATGAAATATATTCCAGAGGTTTTCTATTCTTCCTGACAATTATAAAAGATTAACATGGCTTTTCTATAATCTTTGATTCTTAGGAAGGGACAAGGTTTTTTTTTTAATTATTATTATTACCCTCTTACCTAAAAACAGTAACCAAACAAAAATGACTGGGTTAATTATCAATGAAGTGAAAATCCTAGGACTTACATTTGTATGCCTCAAATATATTTCAGTCTGCTTTATTTTTTAATAATGCAAAGAATAAGAATTAAGAAATATTTAAGAATTAATGAGAACTAATATAAGGGTATGAAGGAGACAGAGAGAATGAGAAAATATGATATTCTTTTGATACTAATCTAGTGAGACATGATGGCATTGGTAGGGGTGACAAACTGACGGCCCATGGGCCAGATATGTCACACACAGGCCACGCACACCCCAGCTCCGTGAAGGGAAAAACCATCACGATACATCACGTGATGCATTATTGGAAACAACAATGGGGAGATGAGAAAATCACTTCTTTCTGCAAACCTCTTTCTTCTCTTTCTAACAGCCTTTTCTCTCTTTTACCAGGAGTACACAGAGTTCTTGAAGTTAGATTGGGGCCACACGAAATAGGCTGATCACGGGATGTACCTCCCCATCCCACCTAAAACATCTATAGCACTACCCCAAAGCCACAAGCAATGGGTCGGCTCTTGAGTAACTGTGTGGATTTAAACAATATAGCAAAGACTATGTATCTTTTACCCACACATCATCTTTTGATTCTAGGACAAGAACACCTTGCACTGATGTTTTCCATCAATCATTTTCTATTTTCTAACATCTGACCTGCTAGCAGCATCTGTGCAAGCTAAGTTGAGAAAAAACAAATGAAATGTGAAGGTGCAGGAAGGGAGATAACATTACTTGAAAGAAATACACATCCATATAAAACAGACCCCCAGCCATTTCGTCGTAGAAATAGTATTGCAAATTATGTGAGCTTTGCTAACATCTGCAACTAGAAACTGCCAGGAGGCTCTTAATGCAGAAATACTTTGCTTTAGTCTACTTACCCTTTGCCTCATTTTTCGCCTGGGTTCTCTAAATCCCCTTTAGTTCCTTTTAGCTAACCAAATTCACTGACCAAATATTTATGTCGCAAATGAGGATTTTTTTTTTAAAAAAAAATC